TATTTTAGAATCTTTTTAGCTATTCTTGCTTAAGTTAAAATCTTCCAGCAACAAATGTCTTTTGCCTGATTGAGGCAAAAAAATGCTATCAAAAAGCATCTTGGACTTCTTTTTTGTTACCAGAAACATTCAAAAATTCCAGATTTGGTCATAGGTTCAAATGTACAAAAAAATCACTGAAATAATTGCATAAGACAGAGTTGCAAAGTGAACTGTCCTATTCATGAAATACTAATAGAGGCAAAATTTTCCTCCAATTTATAGAATCTTAGAAGGGATATAGTAATCAAAAAGCACAGTTACTGTAGTACAGTAACAAAAGAAAAAAGAGAACTAATAAATTATCTCATTCAACTTCAAATTGTGGGAAAAACCATCAATTATGGCCAGTCATTCCAAAACAAAAAACAAAAACAAAAAACCCAAACCCTAACCCCCCTAAGTATAGTGCTGAAACTGAGGCTATATCACTAGAATATGGTACATAGCCTTGTTCATTTTAAGGTATATTATCAACTTAGATGAAATAGCATATATGAAAGCACACAGAAAAAATACTTTATAAAATTTCACTAGTAATTACAGTCTCCCCTTTTGTATCATTTCAGTTCTTAATGGTTGAGCAACTACCAGTCTCCTTTTAACATGAAAAAATCCTTGAGTATATGTCTTCAAAGACTTTTAAAGGAAGTCTTGACTTATTTAGAAGGTACCCTATTATGAACTTCAATATTTTTAACTAGACAGTTAAAAAAAAATCAAGTTGACTAGTGTCACTTTAAATCACCCATTGCTAACTATAATTCTGTGGGTTTACATCTGATGTAAACTCTTTAGTCTAATGGAGCTGAACACAAACATCTGGTCATAAACTCAGAAACTTGGTAAACCTGTTTCAAGGAAGATGTCATTTTTACTTAAAGATGTTCAATGTTTCAACATTTCGTTAATAGGAACGTACAGCTAACATTTTATAGGTAGGCATCTGAGTGTTTCCGGAAGAATCACCTGGAAATAAGTAACTACCTAAACGTAAATGAAAACATTTTCTAATATTATAAAGAGATATATACCCATATAAAATAGTAATAGAAGTTTTATAGAAAGCTTGCTCTGCAATTCTGAGAACAAACTAACTTTGAGATATTTCCTATTTCCTTGGACACCTCGTAACACTTACAATCAAACCTAACTCTTTGGGATAGCAGATTAATCAGATCAGTAAATTGCTTGAACTACTTGATGTGTTTTGCTAGACTGGGTATTATCTTAATGGTCTTCTAAAGTCACTGAATATTTTATGAGTAAGCAATGAGTAACAATAAAAGTCTTTACTAGTTGAGGTGTAATCCAGAACACCTGAAACTGCAAAGAAGCTGTTTTGAGGAAATAATTGTGACTGATTGTCACCTAGAAACAGCTCAGTAAAATTATATAGATGAATATTAGAAGTGTCGAATGGCAGTTCCTACAGCAGGGATCATAATATTCAGTGTCCTGGATTTAGCCATGACAATTAATGCCTCTATAATTAATATGCCTCTTACAATCAGACGTACAGACTAAATACTGTATAGATGTACAGACGAAATAAAGGGAAGAGAGAGAAATTCAAACCAGTTCCAGTTAAACAAAACTAGAAACCTTGTAGAAAGTACCATTCTCTTGAAAAAGGAAGCCAAAGGAAAACCAACTTACTTTTTCACAAGTATTCCTAAAGAACAGCAATGCACAGACTTCCAGCAGCAGAAGACATGAGACCTTGAAGGTCAGCAACAAGAACATGCAACATTTCCAGAGACAGGAAAAAGTGAACACGATTAGATTACAGATAAATGTGGCCATTAGAGTTTCAATGCATTAGTCTAGTCATTTTTTCTTAATTAATTTGATAAACTGCATAGGAGTACAGGGCCAAGACTTACAAACAAGGATTAATTTTAGAGTCTAGGAGAAACAATTTTTCAGTTCCTTTTTTTTGTTTTGTTTGGAGGGCTTTTCTTTTCTTTTCCTTTTTTAGCTATCACAAAGATGAATCCTTGGAAATGAATCCTAGGAAATCTCTCCAGCCTGTTACGTGGCCCCTGTCACAGTATCTGAATGCCTTACAACTCAATGCATTTATCTTCTGATATTTCTGTAAGAAGTAAATTGTTAGGTTTATTTTATAGATGGAAGACAAAATTACAGAGAAGATGAGCCCAAAGCAAAAGCCAACCAATAAGAAATAAAGACCTAGATAAATTTAGAAGGTCTAAATATGAGACTGAATGATTCACCTAAAACGTTACAACATACACAACACTAGGAAAATCAGTGGAACCAAAGTAATTGCTGCTCGCACCTGCCACCTTTGTAGTTAGTCAGCCCCATCACTGAGATAGGTGAATGGGTCACGGCCCAAAATTCAGAGCCCTTAGATCACACGGGAACTATGCTACCCAGCAAGGAGTCGAGCCCCGTCAAGTCCCACGCTAATGCCCTAGTCATTGGATCTAGCAGAGACACTGAAAGATGGAAGGAGACTTTCAATGACCTCACATACAACCACTGACTCATAATATGGACTAGGTCATACCATTTTGCACCATGATTCACAGGATAGGCTGGGTGTTTGCCACAAGGAAAATACGCATCATCACACCTTTTCCAGGCTACCTGCTTATACATTTGTTAGTCTGAAAATGAATGTTTTTGCACGTTTTCCTCTCTTATAGAAAATGTGTCAAGACCCTGATCATACAACAGCTTATTGGTATGTGTAACTTGACATAAACGACAATTAGGCATACATTCAAGTCTCTTCAAAATCTTAGGAGAAAGAGAAACAAAGAAGCATTTATGATCCCTGGCAAAATCGTTAGCCAGTGAGCTAAGGTGAAAACATAACACAGATTTGAAAACAAAAGAAGTGGTTATCAAACTTTCAAAAATAAATTATTACATTACAGTCCTGAATAAATTCAGCTACCGCATCTTGGGAAATGTAAACAATCTAAATATTAAGCTACACGCTTAATTTAAAGCCCATATAAAAGAACAAAGATATGTAACACATAAATCCCCAAATTGTATCATTTTAACACGCTACTGAAGATTTTTTAAGATTGTTGGAGATCTGAGAAGGGGAAACTGTACGGAATTATGAAAGGCTGCCAATATAAAATACAAACAATTAGTAAACACATAGTATATTTCCTAACTGATCTTATACAGTCAGAACAATGAAGATTTCATCCTGCATGGCTAAAAATTAACCTGGCAAATAAGGCAAAATGTAAATTTTAAATTATGTTTGCGAACATCAACTTTGTTAAAAAAGGGAGGATTTGAAAGAGTACTTTAAGAGGAATTCATTATCTTCTATAACTATTATTATAAACTCTGGGTTATATAAAATACAATGTGATTGTGACTGAGATAGACCAGTTAAAAACTCAGGTTTATTTTCCACTGCCAACAGATCCTTCATTATTGTCCCACCTAAAACATTACAAAACTAAAGGTCAAAATAGAAAGATTTTAATAACATGAAGTGGATCAATTCCATAGGAAATTGAGTTTTATATACTAACTCTTTCCTAACTCTTTCATTTATTAATTCTGCTTTTAAAATGGAAGAGTTTGGGCTTTCTAATTTGTGAAAAAAAAATTTTCTTTTGAGAGAGGCTCAATGGGCTGAAAAGCTGGGTAAGTTTATTTCCACAGGGTATACAATAGCACTAAAATTTAAATGAAGCTACTTGTATTCACGGAGGCATCTAGCACACTATGACCAACTGAAAGTGATGCACAGGAGGGGATTCCTACGCAAACCGATCTTCTCACTTCCATCAAACCAGAACTCCACTCTAATTGCATTTAATCAGTCCTCAGAATGATGGAGAGATCTTTGAGAGAGTCATACAAACAGATACAAAGACTAGATGACTGGATTGGAAAATTAAATCAGTATTTCACATTGAAAACACTTATCAACTCTGTTAAAATGGGTAACATTTTTAAATACAGCATTTCTGTCTAAAGTACCTCTACTTACAACTGCAGTCATGATATTTTCAAGCAAGAATTTCTGATGTATTTCAAATTCGACTTTGTGCAAACTGAACGGTGAAACCCTTGAATAAGTAAACTTGCTTGTCATATACTTAAAAAAATAGATTTAAACCTTTACTGTGTATATAGATCTACTAAGTGTTAGTCCAGTAAACAAGCTCATAGAATCATCTTTCATCTTCAGATCTCTAACTCATCTGAAATATAAACAGTATACTTACTCTTTGTTACTTGCTAAGCAGATAAACTTTTTCCTTTACTTGATTTACAGATCAAGAATTCCAGAAATAAAATTAGAGCACATTTCTCTTTACAACAGAAAGCCTCTCTTCAATAGAAGCATTCAATGAAATCTTACCATTTTTCAGGGGTATAAGGTTTAGCAGGCAGCACTGAAAAGTTAAAGATTGTAACCTTACACCACTAATACAAAGTTTCTGTCTCAAAATTCTGGTTTAGGCTCTACTTTATAGTTTAAGAGTCAGGCCATGATTTTTATAAATCTGAATGGAAACATCTGAACATTTTCCTAAGTGAATTAGTAAAATTTCACTAGACAAAGTAGCAAAGTAAGTAACATAACAGTAACATAAAAGACATCTTTTAGAAAGAAAATATTCAAATGTTGTCACTTCAAACGGAAAAAAATATCTCTTAATAGTAAAGCACACAAAATTTTGCAAAAAAGTAGAAAATAGAATTCATTTCCAGGGAAGAAATTTTCACTGAACAGTGGCAACTCTGGGCAAAAAATGCCTTCCACAGCATTAGCTCTGCATCCAAGGAATTCCATTTAAAGCTCTTTTATCTGAAATACCAGAAGTAAATCTAAAAGTATCTAAGACTGACTCTTTTATATTTGGAACTCCAAATTAATTCATATTGGTTTACACCGATAGAGAAATTAAAATCACTCATTTTTACAGTACAGGTTGGGAACTGACCTGCTGGAAAGCAGCTCTGCAGAGAAGGACCTGGGAGTCCTGGTAGACAAGTTGAGCATGAGCCAGCAGTGTGCCCTTGTGGCCAAGAAGGCCAATGGGATCCTGGGGTGCATTAGGCAGAGTGTTGCCAGCTGGTCGAAGGAGGTGATCTTCCCCCTCTACTCAGCCCTATGGAGGCTGCATCTGTAGTACTGTGTCCAGTTCTGGGCTCCCCAGTACAAGAGAGACATGATGCTCCTGGAGAGAGTCCAGCGAAGGGCTACTGAGACGATTAAGGGACTGGTGCACCCCTCCTATGAGGAAAAGGTGAGACAGCTGGGACTCTTCAGCCTGAAGAAGAGAAGACTGAGAGGGCTTCACCCTCCCTTCACACTGAGGGATCAATGTGTACAAGTACCTGAGGGGAGGGTGTCAAGAGGATGGGGCCAGAGTCTTCTCCATGGTGCCCAGTGATAGGATGAGAGGCAATGGGCACAAACTGAAACACAGCAAGTTCCATCTGAATATGAGTAAAAAATTCTTGACTGTGAAGGTGAATAAGAACTGGCACAGGTTGCCCAGAGAGGTTGTGGAGTCTTCTTCCTTGGAGATATTCAAAAGCTGTCTGGATACAATCCTGTGCAATGTGCTCTAGGTGATCTCCAGAGGTCCCTTCCAACCTCAAACATTCTGTGATTCTAAAAATTCTAAAATATAGTCTACTACTACTACTGCGCTGTAGGAATATAATTTTTCCTCCTTTTTGGGTTACATTACAGTTTTCATTAAATATCTGTTGGCTTTTATAACTATTGTCGTATCTTTAACCTAAGCAATTCGTCACAATTCAAGACTTTGTAGGATTGATGGATGAGAAGCGAACTGGAGTCCCCAAACTCAAAATTCTCTTTTCCTGAAAAAGAAGAATGGGGAAACCCTAGAACAGGTAAGCTTGGTCTAGCAAAGGATTTATGTTCAGTGCTTTCTGTGGCCTAGCTGCTTCTCACAACCACTTTGCAACAAGTACTGTGTTTCACATTATACGTAATCCAGTGCCAAAACTGGGTAGTCCTGCTCCATTCATTCCCCTAACTCTAGCTATGCGCTCCTGCCACTTATCTTGGATCAAATTTAATGAATTGATTTGACAAGGTATTCCAATCTAAAACTGTTATATAAAATACTCACATAACTGGCTTATCCTAAAGCCATGCAAGACATTAAATATCAGACAAACAAGAGGGAAGAAACAGGTGTAACAGGTAACAGCAAGAGAGGAAAGGAAGGAAAAGGACTACCCCTTTTAGCAACAACTTGTAGTTTTACGATGGCAGGCAAATCAGAAGGCTGCTACCTTAGGATGCAGTTCCACAGTAGCCTAAGTCAATCTAAGTTGGGACCACTTTGGTTCTGCCCAGTCCTCCACATCAAAAATTAAAAAAACGCTCTTTCACCCAAGCACTTCAGCTGAAGGAGCTAAACAGGTTAAAAAAAAAAAAAACACACCTCAAAAGAGTTACTAGTATTCAAGTGGCTCAGGTCTCCATGAAGAGGTTCACCATGACATTGAGTGCTACTGCGGGCACAAGAAAGTGAAAAAACAGCAGTCACAACTTAGTTTGGTTTAAATTGCCATGGAACTGAAACTTTCACCTTCTTTTAGCTTTTCCCTTAACTTGCAATCAAGGAAATATCTCATGACTTAGCTCTGCCTTGCACATGAGGCCTACTGCCTTGTGCATCACCTCTTTCTTTTTGTGGTCATCTATAATAAATAGCTTTGAGTTAAAAAGAGTGAGAGGTCTCTCTCTGTGTTTGAAGAACACTGGGAATAGGTTTCTTTGGATCCAAGTTGAGAGCCATTAGCTTGTAAACAGAGTAGCTCAATCTAATATATTCACTGGTAAAAGAAATATTAGTTCTACCATAGTTCTATCCACAAGAAGTTCTACCCACAGAAATAGAAGGTGAAATACCTTTTAGCTTCACTTGAATCTCTCCACCTGAAAAGTCTGTAAAAAGAAAGAATTCAACACGGAAAAACAACATATGTTAGGAATAAAATCTGTTCAGATAACATAACAAACTTTAAGGTCTATGAGACAGAGTGAGCTAACACATTACTGCTGAAATGGGAACATCCTTCTCCTCCCTCTTCCTTTTTCAAAAACTCCTACATGAATACCCTCAACCACTTATCTTGCAGTGACACTGATGTTCACTGGACAGCCTGTGAGCAGGAAAGGAGGAAAGAAGAAACAATACTCTCCCTTTCAGCAGAATTGGGCTTTAGTACACATAAACATCTACCTTGCTATTAATTTAGAAGACTACTCTTTAAAAAAAGAAAAAAAAGTTTTGTAGCAGAATAAAAACAAGTAACAAAAAGTGTAAGTCTTCAAACAAACCTAGAAAAATATTTGTAAGCTGTCTTCTCATACAGAAACCACTTTCTATTCACTTTCTATTTTCTTGAAGTAATTGGATCAAATCCTGTTGTCACTCAAGAAAAATGATCCTTAACATCCTAAACATATCTCAGGAAAAGTCCAGCTATTTTATTTAAAAAAAAAAAAAAAAGATGGCATATTTGGGGTAACAAAACATTCATTCCACAATACAAACAAAACAGAGTTAAGTGTTACCTAGATATAGTCAGTATAACTAGGTACTTCTAGTTATACATGACTTTCATATCCAAGACAAACTATATCTACTGTACACCAATTCTAAATGTTGGAGGTTAAGGTAGTGAAACAAATATCAACAAAATTACCATCTGAGGCTATTGACTTGTAAGCAGCTGCAAACATTCTTAAATATAACATACCCTCACTACAGTAAATACAAATTTGTATTTGATTTACATTACAGTTTAATGTAAACAAATGCTTAGAACATTTTTCCTACTATAGTCTTGCTTTTATTCCAACTCTTCTGACTTTCCCCATGCAAACTTAATGACAAAACCCAGCAGATTACCACCAGCAGAAAATGTATAATTTCCTTTGAAGAGGAACTCCTGCTAGAAGTTTTATAATATCTTGTGTCTGTACAATTCCTAATTTCTGGAGCAGAAGGAACAAATGAGCCTTGTTCTAGTAACACAGACTGGATCTCCACTATAGCCCATCCTCTTGTCTCAGCCCTCTGAAAAGCAGTGCCACTACATTGGTTTGCTCCCATACTGGTACCACTGCCTGTGGTACAGTGACACAAAAGGATCTCGAGAATGAAAGTACAGATACTTTTGTCTTTAAATAATATTGTAAAAGTTGAGCTGAAAAAAACCTACAAAAGTTAACAGCATTTTTTAACAGAATGTTTAACAGAAAATACAGTTTTTCTAAATTAAAAAACTGTTTTTCTGCTTTGGTGGGAAAAAGTTGAAATGATCAGTTTTCATGATTCTGTTTCATAAAGGCCATCTACATTGAGTGCATTTTCCTTTAGCTCCTTTTACTTTTAGACTAAAATACAGGTTTAAATTTATTATATTTATATGCCTGTCTAATATGTAGTTACTGTTTTATGTATATATTTATTCAAAATAGCTCAACATTATGCAAAAGAAAATACATTCAGAATTTTCATTCAATAAAAATTTCAATTTCTTGTTAGTTTCACTATTGACTTATAAACAAGTTTTCTTGTAAGATCTACACAGAATTTAAAAAGAACTTTCAGAAGGAGTTTGGGATATAGGTGCACAACAGTTCTGCTCTTGGCCAAACCTTTCAATGCCTGTATGCTAAATATGCCAGATCCAGACCTAGAACAACTTTATTCACACGGTCTACATATTTTTTTCACGTTTACCTATATAAAATTAGATGCTTAGGAACAGATTATTAAAAACAAGTAAGACCTGAAGAGTCTACCTCCATTTTAAAGAGCTCTCAACATGATAGCTAGTCCATACAACACTCCTGTTTGTATTGGAATTGAAGTTCATAAAGTTTCAGCGTTGTATAAATGTGTAAAGGAGTAGGGTCTACAAACAAAAAATACAAAAGGGCGGTGGAAATGAATACATTCAAAAACATATGCAAATATTATATCAATCACTATTTTCAGTTGTCACATGATTTCAGATTTCTTGTATTACATTTAAGAACCACTCCTGAAAATGGGTGCCTTGACCCTTACGACACACATTTAACAAAATCTATTAATGGAAATCCTCCATCCGTTCTGAAATGAATGAGCATACTATAATTGATTTAGATCTATGTGAAGACAAATGATAGACCAACTGCTGTAATGGAATTTTTAATGAAATGTACGTTTCTGGCTTACTGGGCGTACTACTGTGATCTACAAACTGCAAGACAGGAAAATTCCTTAGATCTGTCTCTACTGTCTATGTGGAATTATCCTATTCTGTAATGATATGTAAATATGTATTTTCAGAAAAGTCATATATTACTAGAGCTAGACATACTTTTATTCAGAAATGCACACCTTCTGTAAGATAGAGGGATATTTGATAGTAGACAGTCAGCCCCTAAAAATATACCTTAAGCTTAGGGTAGACTTTCTGATATCATCTTATGTTCTATTCTGTATTTTACCCATCTCTATTAATTTAAATATCCTCACTGACATCATTAACGAAGGCATCCCTAAAGCAGCCTCTAGACTAGAAAATCAGGGCCAAATCTTTGGAAGAACTCCAGGTTCGATACCTAAATAAATGGTAAGATTTTGAACAGTATTTAGAAATCTCCAGCTTGTATGAACACATAGAAGGTGAACTCTCTAAAATTTTGCTGCAGAAATCAGCATGAGGAATTTTTTTTTACACATTACAAACAACCTTTAGAACTCTGCATTCATCTTGGCTTAAATCTTTTTCAAAGATTAAAACAGAGAATGAAAACCTAAGTACTCAAATGTGAATTGCTTCATTTTCTAATGTTTGTTTAAATATTGATAAGAAGGGTGTGTGTTTTTTGGAAGGGGAGGGGGGTGGAGAAGGCTGGAAAATATTATTTTGCCCTGACTAATGTGTATTTTTCAAACTTGGTTGTGTCAAATAACCAGCAGTATAGCCATGGCTAACAATCTGGATCAGAAGTGAATCAGATAAAAGACTGCCTAATGTGTTCTCTTTGTCTGCTTTTCTCTTTAGAAAGCAGTAGTGTTTAAAAGCACAGTTACAATCACAGAATAGCAAAGTTCCTGTTTCAAGTATTTTTCATTCTGAGTTATTTAGCCTTTTAAATCATAAAGCCTTTTAATTAAATGGTTATTTTTCCTTAAGACTTGTTTTTTTTTTTTTTAAACTGAGAAGACTTCAGTTTAGCATCTCCACTGGTGTTAGTCATGTAGACCCATTCAGGTCACCAGAACCACCTCATTTTACATCAGCTGCTGTGTTGCTGCATTATATACATAAAAACCCTGATCATGCAAACAAATAATCATATACTTGATTCTAATACATGGGAGAAGCCCATGGCTTCCACGGAAGTCGCTCATTCATTCAGCATCATAACATGGACAGATTTTCAGCACAGGCCCCAGGGGGGAGCTGATTTTTTGCTATCCTTTGTGTATTAAGGACATAACTGATTCTGATTCCAAAAACAACAGATGGAGAAGTATATCTTCAGGCCTAATCTCATGCATGGCATTTTTGCTAGTCAACTCTGTAAAAAAATTTGTTCAGTCTTAATGTTTTGTTAGCCACCTATGTTTCTGTATCGTTCTGACTCTCTTGCATGCACACTACTTAGCTAATTTGCCTCGTTTGCAAGCCTTGTTAGGAATATTGGGGTAGTCTGGCCCCAATAAAGTCAGTGGCAAAACTCGCACTCATCAGGCAGGATTTCTCACTATCTGACGAGCTCTGAAGGAAGTTGCCATGTTTGCAACAACTGAAGAAAAAACGTGCCTGTTCCTCAGCCAGTGCCTCTGTGGCTTGGAGCTCATGTACATCTGCTTCTGCACATGATGTCCTTTGGTACAGGCAGGGCAGAAGCTGGGAGCAGTAACATCTTAAGATGCAGCCAGGTTTACCTGAACTTTGAAGTTAGACCCCCATAAGAGAGAAACTACCATCCTTTCAGAACGTATACATGCAAAAGGATCAATTTAAATACGCTAACTACAGTGTACAGCTGTCGTTACCTCCACCTCTTCTGGAACTTTAAGCTTAAGCTTATCCTAGGTCTTATCATTGTCTGGAATAAGAATATTTAGGAAGTGAACAAAAAATTATCCATTAGCTTTCTAAACAAAAATAAAATAAAAAAGGCAGCTTCACATCCTTAAAACAGTGGTAGTAGAAATTTCCAATAAATTATCAAATTCACAAAATTTGTAACTGAGTCTTTGCTTTCCTGATCAACACCATCATCAGTGGCCTTGGGACAATGTAGCAGTCTTATGAATTCCTGGGAGCTAAAAACTAGTGAGAGGCTTAGGCTCCTTTTGAAGCCTATGTCATTGGAGCAATTCCATTGTTTTCACTTAACTTATTCCTCTGACAGAGACTGTTAAGACCAAGTCTTGTGTAAGGGGTTAATGTCATGTCCAAGGCACATGCAACAATAACATTTGGTCCGGCCTCTGCACATGTTGATTAAATTAGAGTATATATAATAGCAAACTGTCCAATTTTAAAGAGCTACAAACATCACACAGCCCTTAGAGTTGCAGCCCAACTTAAACAGTGACAAATTTACTCTGTGATAGCTAAAAAGCAGTTATAATACTTTCAGTTGTCTGCCTTTTAACATAAGCCTGTTTTTGCACAAGTTTCAAATTCACAGCCTGATTATTTGTGTACAAATGTCAAGAGTGCAATTTTCCTGAAGCGTATGCCTTGAACTCAGTCTTTCAATTCAAGTGTCTGCTGCCCCAATGAGACATATGTTCATTTATTACTTTCATAACATTCCAAAAAAACAAAGTTAAAGAGGACCCTGAGAGTTTTTTTAGCTTATCCCTCTGCTTCAAGGCAGAATTAATCATATTTAAACCACGCCTGACAGATGTTTGTCTAACCTGTTCTTGAAGATCACCACTAATGCAGATTGCAGCACTGCCCAAGGCACTCTGTTCTAATACTTGATTATTCTACCCATTAGAAAGTCTTTTCTAATGTAAATCTCCAGTGTTGTAATTTAAGCTCATTACTTTTTATACTCTTCATGGGAGATCTACAGGAAAAAAATATATTTTCTTCCTCTTTATAGCTATCTTTTACACTTTTGAAGTCTTATCACAACAGACTTGTTTTGTCTAGCCTTAATAATCCCAATTACTTCATCTAAGAAACAGTGAATAAAATTTTAGACAAGAAAACATAGCAAGACTATACTTAGAAAGAAAGAAAAAGTAGATCCCATTTTGGACCTACCATCTTTATCTATGATTATATACAGTACAACATTTCAACAATGATCATTTATCATGTTCCTCAAGAGAACCAATAAAATGCCATGAATACACATCCTCTGATGTTGCACAGATACAAAATGTATAGTTTGTTTACAAACTAATATTACTGAATGTAAAATGAAGCAATATTTTAAAAAAATATATTCATAAAGGTCCAAAGTTTACATTTCTAAAATATTAAATTCACGTTTTATTTACAGACCAGCTTTCAAACAATTATTGGCATTTTAATATAATTGCTTAACCTGATGAGTACATGAATAAAACGAAGCTGTAAAAAAAAAAATCAATTATCAGAGTAAAGTTTTGTCTAACAGTTCTAAAAATGCTATTTTCAATTTCTATTTAGAAATGCAAGAGGTCACCTACCACACAGTAACTTATCATTAACTGGTCCAACACTTCCATATGCTATAGGTATCTCAAGTGACCAGTGTATTCCAACCACATACACAAGAGTGCATTTTTGCCCATTCCAACTTCCAACGAAGCGTTGACAACAGTTATAGTATTTACATATTTAAAATAAAGGCTTGATATCCCTTTGGATCACTTTATCACTGTTACTCTGTCTCGTCTTGTTGACAACACAGAGCAGAGGGCAATCCAAAGACTATGGATTTTGCCAACGCTGTGAGAATTGAATTAACAGCACCTACCCCAGGTTGTCTAAAAAAATAGGCAACTCTAAGTAACAGACTATTAAGGAACACTGATTCTGAATCAATGACGACTGAAATCACGCACCAAAATCTCCCTCTCGCTGAGAGGTAGTGTGTCAGAAGGCAGAAATTTTTAGGCTTAAACAGGACCTACTGGCTGGTATGACCAGCCAAGATATAAAGCCCAACCTGAAAATTGCTGGCAGGCATCTGATAGCCTGCGGCTTTACACCAGAACTTGGGAGTTCTGGCAGGGAATTCCAAACATTTGATAGTGCAGCTAATTCTGCAGTACTGCCAGAAACACTCCTTCGCCTAAACTGTGCTAGGTTAAGTGAAGTGAAAACTTGAAAGCTGCATAATAAAAACTACAACCTCAGGCTGTACTAGCTTTAACTAATTTCAACCGGGTCTGAGTAAGGAAAATATGTACTCCTTCATGCTGCACCCTCTTTTCTTTGTTGCTCTGTCCCATCTCCCAGGGACTGCATTAAGATTTCTAAAGCAAACATAGAAACGAACATGGCAGATTCTCTTACCCACAGAAGGGATAGGCGAACACAGTGATCTTTCTGTTTTGCCCGCCTGGACTACTGTGAACGTGAATAACGCAGTTTTTTTTCAGGAAAGCAAGCATTTATGACTTCAGTGAACTCATCAACTTGACTAAAACAAGAGGATATTTGAGGGACTGGAATAAGAAGTAATTTCTTTCAGTCACACTCCCCGTTACGCTCTGCTGTTTCAACATCTAGCACCTATCATAGGTGAAAAAAAGGGGGAATTAAAAGGAAATCCCAGGGAATCAACAGCTGTGTTTCATAAATTGTAGGCACAACACCTTCAAAATTATGAAAAATAAGTATTTCATTTCCATGTTTGTTATTTTGAGATTTCAGCATGTTTAAACATAACTCACTGATTTTGATGTCTACAACGTACGTAGTATTCCATACGAGATGAAATAAAACATCAGCCAGTGACGATCGCTCTGTTTTACAGAGAACTTCACCATACTCTTAAATTAAATCATGTATTAGTGCATTATACCTCTAATGACAACAAAACTATTTTATATTCTAAGAATATGCATCTCTGAAATATTTTAAAATACCTAACCAAGCAATGCTATGCGTTCCTATGCAGCATTCAAATACTCTAAAAATATGTTTTCTTGAAAAGATAATTATCAGTCTAAACATATGCCAATAATAAATTTTGATCAATTTAATTTTTTATATTATTTCTGATAAAGTTGCTGCTTTTGTTTCTAACTGCAAGCTATAGTTTCTAATTGCTGCTCTGCTTCAGCAGCCATAGCTGCTGCCTGTAATTGTTCTGTTTCACTCTGGATGGCATTAGCTGTAGTAACTTGCTTTCTTTCACTGTGCATATTGTTCTCATGCCTTTTTAGATCAGATGCCTTAGCAAATGCTTTAGTGCAGGAACTGCAGACAAAAGGCTTCTCTCCTCGGTGTCTTCTTTCATGGTCTTTGAGGTGGGACTTGTGCTTGAAAGCTTTATCACACATATGGCATGCAAATGGCCTCTCATTACTGTGAACTCTTTCATGCTTTTTCAGATCTGGTGCACGAATAAAAGATTTTCCACATACCTCACAACTGTAAGGCTTGTAACCTGTGTGTATTTTCAGATGCTCCTTCAAATGAGCTTGTGTGGTAAAGCCCTTTGTACACATTTCACAAACAAACGGTCTATCAGCAGTATGTAGCTTTTCATGTTTTCTTAATCGCGCTTCATCGGAAAATGTTTTGCCACAAGCCTGACATACAATATGTTCCCTGTGACCGTAAAGCAAATATTCAAACTTCATGTCCCCAGCTCCTGTTGTCCAGCCTGGTGTCTGTTCATCTTTCACTTCACTTATGCCATCGTTAAATGTCAACGCCTGAGGGGTTTGAGATCCTAAGTCTTTTGATTCAGTTGTTTCCATAGGCTCTACTTCCTGACCATAGCAGTTTACTTTTCGAACCTCTTCACTCCCCAACTCTTTCAAAATTGCTTCTTGAACTCTCAGGGTAGTGGTAGGTGATTTCCCGTCTTCCTGACTGGGGGGAGTTCCTTCCACTGTCACATCTGATGGACTATCATCGTGATCTCCAATTTCTTCCACCTCATCATCTTGGGTATCATTAGGTTCCCCAATAGGACGGTTTATTTTTAGACAGTACTTGCTCTTGGACTGTGTATTTTCTTCAGGACTAGATACATCACGTTTCTGAGAGCAGAGTTTATCTAAAAAACGAATACCAAGAATCTGGCCTGAAGACATCATCAAATTTACATCCTCTTTCTTAACAGAAATCTTTGCAGTATACATGTAATTGAGAACTTCCTCAAAAATATCAGAACGAAGAAAATCTATTTCTATTACTGATGAACTATCAACTTCTAGTTTTTTGAAAAGCTTTTTGAAGTAGGTACTGCAGGCAGCAAGTACACATCGATGTGCTCGGAATTTAACATCCTCAACCACAATAGCTATGTCACAGAATTCTCCTTCCAAACGTTGTTCATTTAATGTTTTCAGAAACACAGTTTTGTGATCATCGTCATTATATTTAATGGTTTCAGACATACTGATGAAAAACTCCTGTAAAATAACAAGAAAAGTTTTGGACGTTTTATAAAGCGGTCTAAGTCATGAAATCACAACAGCTAATGCTATTCACAAATTCAAAGGACTGTCAAATAAAAATGTCAGCTTAATTTGACCAGAAAACACTTTCAGATTGTAAAAGCACTACTCTTAAACCTCTCTGAAAGTTGCAAATATATAAAGGTTTTTCTCTAAATTAAATACTTCACAGGACGCACTGTGATTTATAGAAGAGAATTTTTTGTAATATGACATTAATTTACTCAGCTATTTCAGTCATTCTAAGTTGAAAATTTTCTCTGTGAATCTGTAATTACCAATAAATGCATGATCGTATTGCAATAGTAGTAATTCTTATAGCTAAAATATGCATATAGTAAAAATATAGTAAATTCTTAGAGCTAATCCTATACTACAACAAATACTAAAAAACGTATAGGAAATATTAGTAAGCTGTAGCAATACATGTAAAATTAACATTTATCAACACAACCTGAACTAAACGTTAAATACCAAATGTAAGCCTTACCATGAACAACGCAGGAAATTTTCTGAACAAATGACTACCAAATATTTGACAGATGACTAACCCTCACAATGCACCACCTTCAGCCTGAAAGACAGAAAGTAAATGACACTTAAGAAACGATAAGATTATTCGAAAAATTAGTGTTTTAAATTAGTGTGTTAAAATACCATGTTAAATTATTTTAAATGATATGATATACACTGTTAAAATGACCAGTTAGAGTGATTCTGTAGATGACCACAAACTGATTTGTTGTCAAAAAGCATGCATTTTCTTCCCTCTGGCTCCTTCATTTCCTGAACTTAGCTTTCTTGCCACTTACCATTCACTAGACCTGTAACTCACAAAAACTTCTCTAGGAACTTATAAAATTAACCCAATAACCCATCCAAAAAGTGAGTAGTCTTCTGCTGAATTAGGGAGCTGAACAAGCCTAGAGGAAAGCCTGGTAATCTGACAAAGCAGCACAAAGGATGGCCGATGGGGCTGGGGGTGGATGCATATTCAGGACCAAGGGAAGACATGCTGGGGATACCAGATCAGAGTCATGCAATCTCTCCTTTTCTGGAAAAATGCATTGTTACATATGCTAGAGCCCACCTTTTGTATAATAATGCAGGAACTGGAGCATCAGTTCATGGGGGGGAGGGGGGGAAATCTAGGTCCTAGATCTCCCTCAGCATGGGAATTCAAGTTAACGCTCTTTCCCAAAATTGTATACTAACACTCAGGCTGGTATTAGGGCATGCTCTGCTCCCCTTACTAAAGGGTTATACATAGGGATGCACAGGCTGAAGAGCCAAGGACAATAAACAAGAGAACAACAGCATATGGCTAAAAACAATGGAGATACCTGAACAGGGGAGTGAGGAATAGTAAAAAATATATAATTTAAATTATTCAAGCCCAGTCTCCCACAGGCATCTAATTCTGAGAAAGGGAGAGGAAATGCACAGGAGAGGAGGGGAATCTAATGCTTGGTTCAGACACCTCCCTCCATCACCTTGCACGGAGCCATCTGGAATTCCATTTGTAAGTTATTACTTATCCTCCATCATATATGAAATGGAAGCAGCTGACTGGTATGCCAGCTTCCACTCCTGGAGCTGGGTGTCTAACATGGCATGGAAACACTCAGCACCCTACAAAGCTCTTTGCAGATTTGGTATTCCAGCATATAGTATCATTGATTTCAGGAAAAAAAAAAAAAAAGCAATGACAAAAATCAAAGTTCTTTTCTTAGCCTGACATAATCAGTCACTATGATAGGCAATTAGGAAAAGTATAAAGAATAATTGAAATATACTAAAGAAAACAAAACCAATTAACATTCTGTGTATTATTCTGGGTTGTCTACCATACTGTGAGGAGGTATCAACTCAACACTGAAAAGCGGGCAGGACAAACTTAACTATTTAAACAGGATCTGCTTAGAGATCTTTGCATGATGGGAAAAACACTACTTTCTTTTTAAACAAACAGCAGAGTCACCGTTATCAAGCAGCAACACCCTCCTTTCTTGTGAAACAATATGCTCATGTAAAACGCAATTTTGCTGTTATTCTGTTGAGACTTACAAGTGAGAGCCAGCAACAGACCAAATAATTGGCTGGGAATTGTGCTACTAAGGGCACAGGAGTATGTAAGTGGTGAAAGCAACAAAGTTGCTACTGTACAGGTGGAGCACAGCAAGCGCTTGCCCGGAGTTACATGCAGTAGGGAGCACCCTGAGTAAAGGCACGGGGAAAATTTCCATTTCCACGGGACGACTTCCTTCACGGGGTAATTCTAACTAATACTCCCCCCCCGCCCCTCGGTTCA